CAAATAAATAAGTAAAATCCTTAAATAAGCAACAACATTAATTAATTAATTAAAACTGCAGGGGTACATTTAGGATAAGATACACAGAGCCAAGGGCCCAGGAAGCTGCATTAGCAGGTAGCCCAGACCCCCTTGTAACTCACCACTGTTGTACCCATGTCCTTCCTGCATTCACTCTGATGGCCATTGTTGGGGAGGATCGCTTACAATCAGCTGACAGAGGAAGGAAAAGGCTATACTTCATTCACAGATGTGTAGGCTCGGTATATGGTGCGAGCTGACATACCCTACAGCCCCATTCACATGGCCCTGAAGTCAGTGGTGGGGGGCACTCCTGCCACTAGGCAGAGCTTCGGGCAGTATGCCCAGTCATTCTATAGACTCCTGGGCAGCGGCAAATGTCTTGGCTGATGAGTCAGGGGCTGTAAGAAGAAAACCTGAAGAATGGGGACAGGGACATCTAGGAAAGAGGCATGAGGATGCACCTATGGGTGCAGATGCAAAGTGTGGAGATCTTTATAACACATGTAAATGCCACCAGAGAGCTACCACAAGGAGGCAATCAACAGCCAGGGACACAGAATGATTTGGACAGTTAACCTGTTCACGTTGGCCACCAACACCCACTTTCCCCAGGGTTAAAATGATGAGTGTGTGAAGGAATATCTACGGGGGCAAATCCATGGGATGGAGGCAAGGCACGGGCCCAGCAGCATGAATTCCAACTCACCAGCCCAGCTCCCACTAGGCTATTGCCAATGTCCAATCACCCGACTGAGACTGATGCTGGAACCCTAATAGCAGAGTCCTCAGGGAGGCCAACTGGTCACCCAGTGGCCATAGATGCCATTGGCCTCATTTCACTGCTGGAAGAAGCTGCGATTCATCTGACTGTAACCAATACATGGTCTGGATATGAGTTTGCCTTCCCTGCATGCAGGGCTTCAGGCAACACCACTGTGTGACTGGGCACTGTTCTGTGTTGGCGGTTTGCACGCAGAGAAATGCAATTAACTTTATAGAGCATGAACTATATGCCAGTCTCTGTGTTAAGTACTGGGCCTACACAGATAGGCAAGGTTTTGCCCTTGTTTCGTGGCTACTGGGGGTTACTTTTGTCTTGGGGACAGGATAGCTATGTTCCAGCATTAAAATGATTTTGCAGGCTAACTAAGAAGATTCTGAGCTCAAGTGACATCATCATTCCATGGCTAACTTGGGACTGGGACCAGAAGCTTCTATTTTCATTGATGGTCTGACTCAGAATAAAGTGTATTCATCCACGTTGATCAGATACACAAGTCTCATTGGTAAGCAGCATCCTAAAAGGCACTTGATGAAGAAAATAAAATAGAATGAAATAAAGTTTGAACTTCAGCTTTCTACCTTGCAGATGTGAGCATCGCGTTCCCATCCTGAGTGAGTCTTATCTAGGATGGGAAGTCTTGGGTGTCTGCAGCAGTAGGAGCCCCCCTTCGACACACAGCTCCTGTCTCCCCCACGGCCACCGTGAAGCCACCAAGTGCAGGCAAAGTTCCCTGGAGGAATCAGGCTTCCAGAACCTCTCCTCTTGGAAATGTACACACTGATGGAGGCTTCCTTCCATCAAGCCCTCCCACCTGCTCCAGCGCCTTCCTATACCTGTTTCCCGGGAATAAAAGCTTGTAGCCAGGAAGGATGAATGACACAGCCACAATAGGACAGGATGGGAAAGCAACGTGGGTCTGTCCTAGTCCCTCTGTAAGCCCTACACATCTACATTTGCCAGGGGACAGGCCTGCTCTTAATCACATTAAAGAAACTGAGTCACCTGAGGGCCCTCCTCAGGAATGATTAAAGTCATCCCAGGAAAGCATATAAAGCAAGATGAGGACTGGGGTGGGACTGGAGGAATGTCAAGATCAGGGTGCAGGAGCTCTTGGTGGCTCTAAGCCTTGTACACAGCAGGGGCTTAGGGCAGCAATGGGGTTGGGAGCACGGTTATCCCAGGCCTTGGGAGGGGGGGGGCCTCACTTAAGCTCAATGTGCGCAGCAAGGATTCTGCTGTTCCATAGGCTTGCACGCACTCGATGCAGGACACAGACAGCTACAGATCAAGAAATATAGAGATGTTTTGTGAAAGTTTTTATTCACATAAGTAAATGTGGATTTATTATGGATAAATGGATAGTCCACTTATCTCCTTAGCAGCCTTAAGGAGAACTGTCAGCTTCAGGGTTGGGGTGGGGGGACAAAAGGGAGAAGAATCCCAAGGAACCCAAAAGATGAGACTTTTCAGAAGGAGAAAATGCACAATTCCACACGCTGATGGATCAAAGATCAAATAAAATAAGGACTAAAGAGAGGTGCTTGTATGTGTTAGTGCTGACCTCCCAAGAGCACGCACTGGTGTTGGGACAAACTCCAGACTGCAGCTGAAGGAGAAGACAGGCAGTAAGCTCAGTGGAAAGAATGAGCTCGGGCAACTCTTGTGGAAGGTTCAGGAAGTGTGAGCGGATCCGGCTAGAGGCTACACAGGAGGTGAGTAGTAAGAGAATCCATGTTCCCTGAGCCCCCACTGTGCCATCTCACGTGTACACGGACATCCCAGAGCTCCCTACATTTCATCGTCACACAACCCCAGGAGACGAGCAAAAGCATACTCACTTTGCTAATGAATAGCATGAAGCTCAAAGAAGTAACATACTTGTCAGGAAGATCTGGGACCCAAGCCTATTTTCAAAATTGTTCTTTCCATGACATTCACATGTCTGGTAGAGTCAAGGGAAGGTTGACTTGTTCCTATTTTAAGAAGGTGGGACACAGGCATGTTTACAGGTGGAGAGAAATGAGTCTTCCTAATCCCCATTGCTAGCACCACCCAACATCTCATTTGACCAGCTTTCTCTAGTCCCAGGACCCCTGCCCAGGCCCCAGGTCGGAGGAGATGGAGGAGGGCCCAGTGGGTGCGAATCAGCTTGAGCTCAGCCAGCTCATCTTTCACATGCTTTGCCTGTGGGACAGGGAAAGCTCTAAGAAGAATAAAGCTGGGCTTTGCTTACTAAAATCAGTAGCCAGGACCCCGAATCAAGCCGAGGCTCTTACTCCAGCCATTTACCATGGTGCTGTTCCCATCTCCTTCCCCACAGTCCTTGTGGCATCGATGTTATGTGGCTTTGGTCACCTTCCAGATGACTGGTCCTGCCCCTCAGCCCGAGGAGTAAGATGGGGCCACACAGCACCCACGGACACCCTGCTCCCCTCAAAAAAGAAGCTTTTCCACAAAAGAAAAATGATCTCTGCCACTCTCTTGCTGAATGACAAGACATTCTATGAGTATTGCCATATTTTATTTTTTCCCCAAGTCCCTTGTTCTATTACTGCCTTCACGCCCATTATATCCTGAGAGGTAGGCCTGGCTGAGCTAATCCCAGGTGGCAGCCAAGAAAGCCAAATGCAGCGCAGTTAGGAAACATCTCAAAGCCCTAATAATGACGGACCAAACACTGCAGCTGGGACTTATTTTCCCCTGGCCCTAACCCAGAGCTATTTCCTTCAGCCTTCAAACCTCAATGCCCGTCCACATTCCTGGACTGTGGGGCCTTTGGGGAGGCCCGGTGCAGGGAGGGCATCGGACTTGGTGCCAGGCCCTGTGCTAGCTGCTTCACATAAATGAGTTCATTCAACTCCCACTTAACCACTCCACGTTAGGCAAAACAAACCATTTTAATCAGGTAAAAGTAATCATTTTGGGACAAGGAAAACCATAGTTGGTAACATGAAGTGATTTATCTAAGATCAGAAATTGAGGGCCAGGCGTGGAGCCAGCTTTGCAGGTCCTGGGTGCTAGGCCCACTCCTGGGAACTGGATGGCCTGGGGTGGCCCCCCACCTCAGTGCACCCTGGCTGAGTGTGCATTGACAGGATGTGCATCCTACCTGCCCTTCCCACCCACAAGGCAACTGGGGCTTAAATGAGGTTGTGCATTTGAAAGCTGCTTGACTACAGACGCGCAGTCCACACTTGCTCCTTATTATCTCAGCCCCATGAACACACGTGTCCTTTCTAAAGACAGAGGATGTCCAAGGACAGAGGATGAGGCCACTTGTCAGTGATGCTATCATTTAATCACTCGATGTCCATTCCTGATGATTAACCAAAGCGCTGAGATTCACACTCGGATTCATGAAGCAAACGTACAGAATGTACCATCACCTTCCTTTATGTCCCTTTATGTCCCTTTGAAGACTTCACTGTTGAGGAACTCTGCTGGGAAATGCGACCCCTCCGCTCACTCGGAGTGAAGAGGTCTGCCTGGATGTGTGTATGTGTCTGGAAGCAAACCATGGACGCTGGGACCTGGGAGATCTGTGTCTTGCCTCTTACCAACCATTGGATCCCAGGCAAACCAGTTAGCCCCTATGGGCCTCTGTTTCTTATCTCTCAAAGGGAGATCTTGGGGGTCACTGGGCTTCCTTCCCCCCCTTTACGGCAGAGAAGATAAAATGGCAGCATATACTGGACTGCCCTACTTGGCACCAGATCGGAGTTTTAATCCCAACCCCTCTCTTACTGGCTGTGTGACTTTGGGCAAATCCTTTTACCTTTCTGATCATAGGTTTTTCTCTATGAAAACTGGCAAGGACCGTTGTGGGAGTAACGCAGCCCAGTTCAGGGCCGGCAGCTCCATCCTGACCCACCTTCAAGATGGTTCCTTTCTGAAGCGCAAGATTGTTCCTAGCGAACCCGCTGTTTGGCCTCTCCAGAGTCCTCAGCCCAGATGTAGGCTGTTTGATGACGCAGCCACTGATTTTATTGTGAACCCTAATTTCTGCAGCAAAGAAATAGCCTGAACTGATCGTGAGCAAAGTGACTTTGTCTGAGCAGCAAGCAGGTGGCTGTTCTCTCTCCATCCTCAGAACTGACCTCCTCCTGCCCAGGGAGGGGGAGGAGAGGGAGGGTTGGAGAGGCCTGATGTCACACAGCCCTACATAAGGGCCTCCTTTAGGTTCCTGTGGGCGGTTTGGAAGCAGCTGAGGAATGAGTTAGGTCCCGGTTGTGGGATTTTTTTTTAAGTCAGAGACAGACACAGCTGTTGAGCAAAATGCAGACTCCACAGAAAACCCAAAGCCTCAGACCCTTCAAGCAGAGGAAGAGCTTAGGTAGAATTCTAAGGGAAGCTGTCTGGACTGCCTGAGAGAGGGAAGAGGGTACAGACTTCTCTTGCTGTTTACTTATTCTTTTGTCTTTGAAATATTCACAGCAACCAGACAAGAGGAAGTTGCTGGAATCCGGGCAAAGTTCCCAAACAAGATCCCGGTAAGACTTCATTGTGCTTTTTGAAAAGGAGTATACCCTGGGGCGCCTGGGTAGCTCAGTCGTTGGGCGTCTGCCTTCGGCTCAGGTCACGGTCCCAGGGTCCTGGGATCGAGCCCCGCGTCGGGCTCCCTGCTCTGCGGGAAGCCTGCTTCTCCCTCTCCCACTCCCCCCGCTTGTGTTCCCTCTCTTGCTGTGTCTCTCTCTGTCAAATAAATAAATAAAATCTTAAAAAAAAAAAAAAGAAAAAAAAAAAAGAAAAGGAGTATACTCTGTTCCTTGAAAAATAAAATAAAATAACAAGAAGAAGGGGAAAAAAACCCAGTCTCTCCCTATTCTAAATTTCTAAGATACGGAGAGCTCGGAGTCACATTCTTAGGGACTGACCCTCTTGACAGGTGATAGTGGAACGCTACCCCAGGGAGAAGTTCCTGCCTCCGCTGGACAAGACCAAGTTCCTGGTCCCACAGGAGCTGACCATGACCCAATTCCTCAGCATCATCCGGTAGGAGACAAAGTGCACGTCAGGGAGCATGCTGGGCTTTTTTCCGTTTGCTTTGTTAGTTGGTTTGGTTTTGAGGATGGGGGCATTCTGGAAGAGAGAGAAAAGATTTCCTTTGTGACTCACCTTTTAGATTCTGTAGTGCCCAGAAAAGATGCTCTGAGAATTAATCTAACTTAAACAGGTGGGAGAACCCACAGATAACAAGTTTAAAGAGAATAAGAGCTGCCAACTTTTCTAAGAAGTTTCAGAGGTCATCTTGGCTCTGGAACTAGTCCAGAAGATCCTTTTTTCCACATGCTGCTTAAAACCCAGTCTGCATTTTCCCAGTAGAAACACAGTACCTTTAAAGTGTGTGTACACTGGGGGAGTGGGCATCTCTTCAAAAGGCAAATGCCCCCTGCACTGCTCAGACCCTGGGAGGGAGGATAGGGAGGGCGTCCCCAAACATGCTCCTCCCTTGGGTTAAGGCACAGCAAAGAAAATGGAGCTATTTTTAAAGCTTAATAGGGTTAAGTAGTGTCACCCGACACATGGCTTCAGTAAAAATGATTTGGGAGTAATGTGAATGTAACCCCTGGGGGGTAATTCTTCATAGGGTTGAAAAGTCTGGAGAGGCCAGCCCTCTCGAGTTGCATAGCTGCTTGTTTACTCAAGAATCCATTATGAGTGTGTGTCTGTCTCTGTTCTGTTTCTCTTGATGAGTTATTTAAGAACATCCCGATTTCCTCTCCTCAGGGAAGCTTATGTTGGCCCAGAGTGAGGTGGAGGTGGCTAAGGGAACATGAGCATTAGGATTATACCCCTTCCCTCACCTCCCTGGGAAACAACCCTTGGAGTTCTGAGAGCCATTCTTTTTCTCCTTCCCAGACAGGGGTCATCCTCTCTTTTCCACCAGTCCTGACCCCCTCCCCATCTCAACATTTGATGCTCCAGAATGTTTATTGAGCATCAGTTATGTTTTCTGTTCTTTCTAGGCTCTGTCTTTTACAGCAGTGAACAGAACAGACAAAAATCCCTGCCCATAGCCTCCTTCTCCAAGGAATGCCAAAACCCTCATTGAAAGAGAGCATGGCAGGCCAGCTGGGTGGTGCCATCAGTTAAGTGTCCAACTCTTGGTTTCAGTTCAGTTTGTGATCTCAGGGTTGTGAGATCGAGCACTGTGCTGGGGCTCCATTCTCGATGTGGGGTCTGCTTGGGGATTCTCTCTCCCTCTCCCTCTGCCCCTCCTGCTTATGCTCTCTCTCTCTCTCTCAAATATATAAATAAGTCTTAAAGAAAAAAGAAAGAAAGAAAGAAAAAGAGAGCACGGCAAGAGATAGGAGGTGGGCATGCAGACTCTGGGAACAGAGTTCCCTGCAGAGCTGAAGGCCATGCACTTGTCCTCAGCTCCACCCACTCCCACTGTAGAGCACTTCTTTTACCCCAAAACACCCATGCAATTGTCAAAGCCGAAATCTTTGGGGTTACTTTGGGAGGGATTATCTGGTTGTAAAATTAATCGGTTTCCAGCCACCTGTGTCCCATAGCCACATAGACCTAGCTCACCTGAAAGTTCAAAGCTCTGAGACCAGAGTGGGCAGGCTGGGCCTGTCTTTCCAAGCAGAGCAAATGGAAGTGTGCTGCAGGGAAATAGCCCTTACCTGGGGGTCCACATGGCCATGTTGTCCTCCACCGCAGGAGGAGTCAGGCCTCAGATTGACCTTGATATTTACAGCATGTCCAATTGAACTTTGCTGCTTCTCCATCTCCTTGAGATGGGAGGAGGGATGGTAGGGGGAGGAAAGAGCAGCTACCCATTGCTCAGGAGCTGAAAGAAAGAAAGAAAGAAAGAAAGAAAGAAAGAAAGAAAGAAAGAAACAACCTTCCAAAATGCCATCCCAAGGCTGTTGAACAGTGAGATGCTGGGAGATACTGGAATCTCCTTTGTATGTCTGCGATGTACATACCTTGCGTTTGAGAGCAAAGAGGGGCTTATTAGCGTAGCATTTTTGTGTTGGTATGTCTCCTAGTTAATGATGGGATGGCCTCACCATTTTGGTCCAACCGGGAAGACTTAAGGTATTTTAAATCTACAGGGAAGGAGTAGGGAGCTATTCAGTCTTCCTGAGCATCATGATTCTGCAGCCCTGTGAGATGCTTCCCAGGCAAGCTGAATCAGAATCTCTGGGTGTCGAGGAGTGCCTGGGGGCGCTCAGTTGGTTAAGCTAAGCGTCTGACTTTGGCTCAGGTCATGATCTCAGGGACCTGAGATCGAGCCCCATGTCAAGCTCTGTGCTCAGCAGGGAGTCTGCTTGTCCCTCTGCCCCTCCCCCTGTTTGTACACACACTCTCTCTCTCCAATAAATAAATACATAAAATCTTTAAAAGAATCTGTGTGTGTGGAGTGCAGGCATCTGCTTTCAACAGGCCCTCCTGGGGACTTGTCAAGTTTGAGGACAATGCGCTCGAGCGGGGAGGTGGGCTCCTTGGGTCAACATGTTTGCAGTGGACAAACAGAGGTGAGTCAGGCCTTGGGTCAGGGGCCCATTCCCTGCCCAGTTAAAGTTTTCCCTTCCTGCCCCCTCCCTCCTCCCCACCCAGGAGCCGCCTGGTCCTCGGGGCCACCGAAGCCTTTTATTTGCTGGTGAACAACAGGAGCCTGGTCAGCATGAGTGTGACCATGGCAGAAGTCTACAGGGACTACAAGGACGAGGACGGCTTTGTGTATGTGACCTACGCCTCCCAGGAGATGTTTGGCTGCTCGGGGTCAGCTCGGACCCTGCCATACTCTCTAGTGCGTGTCAAGAGCCAGTCCTCTAACCTGTGGAGGGACGGACTGCCTCCTGTGTGTGTGGCGGGCGGTCCAGGGAACAGGGCTGCCCCTCAGTGATCGGCACCCCCCACAACAGGAAGGTCTGGCCGCCCCTGTTATCTTTATGGGGCTCCATGCTCTGTGTGCTCTAAGACAGTGGGCTGGCTCTTGGGAACTCTGGACATACTAAGTCTCTTCTGAGTAAGAAATGGTGAGCTTGTATGATGGTTTTGTGTGGTGAGCTGGAGATGGATTTTACATGTCTTCTGTGGTGGGAGCGGCAGGCCCTTGGGGAGTTTGATTTCACCCCCGTGTGGGGACGAGTCCCACGTGTGCTCGGTCATAGGGAACCTCGGGCTGTGGACGGGTCCCTGTGGAGCCCCCATGTGGAGCCGGTGTGAACCGGCTCATCTGGAGGCGGGGGTCCTTCTCCGTATCATTACAGAGATGACCTTTGTATTTCCACAGCGTTCGCTCAATTTGCTTATTTCCTCTTCGATTCTGTTGTGTGTACTTATGCAGTACAGATTTATGCCAAAGATTCAACTGTTCAATATAAAGTCACTTAACTCCTGTGCATGTTTGCTATGTGCCAGGCACCCTGTGTGCTCATCACAACCCTCTATGGCTAATTATTGTGATCTTCATTACACAATGAGGAAATGGAGGCCCAGAAAGGTCAAAAATATTTTCCAAACTCACACAACAAGGTCTGCTGGGATGGGAGCCCAGGGAGTCTGGCTTTGGAAGCTGCCCGCAGTCATTCTCTGCGAGAACCCCTTCTGATGAGGTTACTCTGAGAGATCCACCTGGCTGCTTGAGTTACAGAGCCCACGTTCACCAATTTAGCCCATGGGGAGACCTGCAAAGTGGGGTGTGCAGGAGAGCTTGGCAAATGAATGACAGTGGGTGTTTTGTTTAGAAGCTGCAGCACAAAGTACCAGCATATTTGTCGGGGAAGGCTTTGCAGGGTGTTCAGCTTGAGCAGGGTTTTGAAGCATGGATAGGAGTTTGTCTCGAAAGGATTTTTACTTATTTATACTCAACATACATTTACTGAGCACTTACTAAATGGTAAGCACTATTCTAGGTCGTGGAAATACAACATTAACCAAGACAGGAAAGGTCCCAGCCCTCAGGAGTCACTTCAATTCCAGGGAGGGAGAAAAGACAATATTCAAGATGAGTTTAGATGCTTATTAAGTACAATAAAGAAAAATAAAACAAAACAGAAGGTGATTCAAAGATTTAATCCTTTCAGTAGGATGGCCAGAGAGAGCTTCTGGGAGGGAAGAACTTTCACTTGGACCCGAAGGATGACCACGAGCCAGTGGTGGAGGCTGAGCATGCCAGGGAGGGAAGGTGGCCGGGCAGATCCAAACATGTGAGCCTGACAAACAGAGAGGATTCTGGGCGGAGGCAGCGGGGAAGGGGAGAGAAGTTAAGCAGGGGCCAGGTCTACAGGGTCAACTTTGCTAAGGTGTTTGGAGTTTGTTTTAAGGTTGCTAAGTAGGAAAGGAGAAGCATTCTAACTGGAGAAAGAGGCTCAGGGAAGGTGTGATCTCCCCCCCCTACGTCACGGAGCTGGCCTGTGTCCTCCGCTCACTCTGGGCATCAGCTTCCTGACTCCCAGGCAGCCAGCCTGCCCTCTCTCCTGCCCTCGGCTGTCCTTTCCCTGCCCGGCTTGCCCGCTTTACCACTCTACTCACTTCCTCTAACACCCATTCATCGAGTCCTCTTTGCCATCTGCCAAAGAAAACAGTGCCTGCCATGCTTGTTCTTCAGACACATCCTGTTGCTTCACCTTGAGGGATGAGTATTCTTCCTGAATGAATCTACGTCCCAGGACTGACTCTGACCTTGATGAGAGGTGGTTGGCCCTGGACAGCCACCTAACTGCCGGTGCCCGGGGCTGGTGCTCCTGCTCTCAGCCTTATCCATTTCCGTGCCTGCTCTGGAATCCAGCATCTAAGCTTGTCGTCATGCTGGGTCATAGCTGGGTGAGCTGCTGTGTTCTGTTCGGTCTCCAAGACCGTTCCCAGTATGGCTTCCATCCTGCATCAACCCCTGGCTGCCTTGTTTGCGGTGCACAGTGTTTCCTGCTGCTATCTAACCAACCAGCCAAAATTCATAGGTGGCATAGAACAGTCCGGGCTTTTTTGTGCTCATGGTGTCTGTGGGTAAGGATTCCAGAAAGTGCACAGTGACCACAGCTTGTCTCTGCTCCCTGACGTCTGGGGACTCAGCTGGGAGACCCGAAAGGCTGGGAGTGACTTGAACAGCTGGGAGCTGGAGTCATCCAGAGGCTTCTTCAGTCTCTTATCTGACTCCTGGGCCAGAATGGCCCAAGGTGGGCCCAGCTGAGCCTGGAGGGGCTCCATGTGGCCTTTCTCAGCGTGGGTTCCTGGACGGCCATCCTCAGGAGCAGCGGGAGGGCACCGCAATCCAAGGAGCCAAGACTGCAGCTGACCTGTCCCTAGGTGATGAATCTCAATTGATTTTGGTCAGGATTTTTTTTCTTTATTTTCTTCACATCTACTCAGATGCATAAGATTAATTGGCAATGTGTCCTTCAATAAATTATGACTTTTCTGTTATGGTATTCATCATCTCCTATTGATTTTTATGAGTTCACAAAGTTGAGTAATTCACTCTTTGTATTAAAATAATTATCCAGTTCTTTTTGATCTTGTTTATGGCAGACTTTCTCACATAGCTGCTTTTTATCTTTATGTGATCTTTTCCTTGTGGATTCTGAGTTCCCGTTCTCAATAGAAAATTTCTCCCAACCCCACGATTATAAACAATGTATACCCATCCTGTGTTTACTTCTAGCACCAATGATTTCACTTTGTTTACATTTAAGTATTGGAACCAACTGGAATTTATTTTGGTAACAGAAGAACGTATGCAGGTTCCATTTTTCCCAAATGCCTAACCAAGTGTCACATGCGCTTTTAATAAATTATCTATCTATGGGCATTTGAATGTGCTGTGATTATGTGTTTATGTCTTATTACCATAACAACAACAACAACAACAAAAATGCTTAAGAACAGTGGACTGTGACTTTCCTTTTTTGGGTTCCCTGCAGCTCCCAGTAATGCTAAGCACATTTGGCTCATTAATGTTTGGTGATAAATTCGAGAACTTGCGTTATCAGAGGGAGATACTAGAATTATGGGATTGTGCCATTGGTTGTTTCCACAGTGATGAGGTCAGGCACGAAACCATTTTGGTTTTGTTGCCTGTTTTACGGCATTAGCCACCCTCTCCTCACGCCCATAAAACCAAAGGAGGGCAGATAAAAATGCACTTGCTTATGTCACAGCTAACGTAGGATCTAAAGCTGATCCGATTCCCTTGAGCGCCCAGACCGGAGATCATCAAACTGTAGCCTCCAGCCATCTGACATGGGGCTATTTCTGTAAATAAAGTACTTCTGGAATGAATGCAGCCTCCCCATTTCTTTACCATGGTCTCTGGGTGCTTCTGGGCTACACTGGCAAAGTTGAGTATTTGTGACGTAGACCATAAAACCTGCAAAGCCTAAAATGTTTACTATCCGACCCTTTACAGAAAAAGTTTGCTGACCCCCTAGTCTAGGTTTAAGGTAATAATTTTATCATCAAGAGCTCCTGGGGGATAAATCACATTAGGAAGACGTTTCTTTTCATTGTTGTTTTGGTCCTACCGGAGCTGGGAAGGAAAGCATTTCCCAGACCGAGGGGCTCATTGATTTTGTGTGGCTAAGTCCTTGACTGAATGGAGACACTCCTAATCACGGCTCATACTCGCAAGTCCCCACTGGGTTCACTTGCCCTTCATTTGCCTCTGAAATATACATGGGGGCTTTCTAGGACTGAACTGTTTCTTTTCAGAAACAAAAGAAACCAGTTCACACCAATTTCCCAGCAAACCCCCTCCAGGTGAGGGGACCTCAGCTGCTCACAGCCCACGGGCCCCTCACACAAGACTAGATTCTAGATTCAGGGCAGGACTTCCCAGCCTATGCACAATTGACATTTGGGCAAGTAATTCTCTGTGGCGAAGGCTGCCGTGGTATCAGAGGGTGCTAGCAACACCCCAGCCTCTATTTACCAATGCCAGTAGCACGGTCCCCTCACCCCAGTAGAGACACCAAAAAGCCTGGCTTTGCCAAATGTCCTCGGTGGGGGGTGGGGAGGGGTGGGGGTGTGTGTGTGTGGGGGGGGGTATGTGAAATTGCTCCCTGCTCAAAACCATAGCTCAAGCCTCCTCCAGACTAACGTGTGGTCTATAGACACGCAGGTCAGCGTCACCTAGGAGCTGGTTAAAAATGCAGAAGGTCAGGGCGGTCTTCAGAACTATTGATCGGAATCTACAATTTATCAAGAGCCCCCAGGCGATTTGTAGGCACATTCAGTTTGAGAAGCACCAGCCTAGACATTATGGGTAGTAATTGTCTGTCTCCTCCCTCCTTGGAAAGTGCAGAAATTGTGCTTCCCCCATACCCCTTCTCCTTCCACTGTGTGAGCACACACCTTAGCCCAGCACCGTATTAAGAGACAATGCCGTGTCCTTGGAAGAGCCGGGACTTTGTCATCAGACAACCAGGTTTAAAAGAAGAGTGTGCACCTGTGGGTCTGGGGGATTACTTATGTCAGTGTCCGCATCTGAAAAATCTCTGGTTTGTGCTTCAGAAAATGAAGGCCTTCTGAGCAGGTAATTGTCGAAAGATCAGCACACTTTCGGTATCAAAGTTTGCAGCTCATTTATGTAAGTTTCTCACAAGCGATGAGATCAAAGGCAGCAAGGTTCCCACTAACAGGACCGTACCAGGAGCGGCTTCCTCTACGCGATAAACTCCAACTGGTTCGGAACCCGAGGGACTCTGTTGGCATTTAAGTCAGAGCTGACAAGTACCACCAGGTGGCGCCAACACCACTTCGTTAGATTTGGCCAAGCAGTTTGCGGCCGGTCAACCTAAATCCCCCCAATTCTAAAGTTCCTAATGGGGTAACTGAAACTTCTGCAAAAGCTAGCTCTAGCCAAAGGGGTTTTCAGACATAACTGTTGGGGAAGAATCGACAGAAGATTAAAGGTGTCTCCTTGACAGGAATGCTAGTTAGCTTGAGGAGAGAACTGCCCAGACCTTAAAGCTACGAAACACCAGCAAGGAAAGCGAGGTCCTCCCAACTCCTGGTGCTGCCATGGCAACCAGAGTCATCCCAAAGGCCCAATGGCCCAAATGGATTCCGAGAGCAGGGCTGGAGAGTGAGGACCACAGACCGGCCGTGTGGGAAAGGAAGTCAAGAGAAGGATAGAAGTAGAGAATTTGTAGTAACAGAAATAAAACAAGTCCCAAATGTTATTTTACCTTTATTTGATGGCTTTTATCCAAAGAATAAATATTATTCCTCCCCAAGCCCTTAGTTCAGAGAGCTCAGCCACCCTCATGATCTCAGGCACTGAGCTATGGGTATTAGAATGGCTCTTTGGTTACCAAGACTGGATTAACACTTATAAATCAATAGTGCAGACCTCTGGGTCAACAGGAAACAGGAGTCTGAGTGGGAGTTGGGGGGTCAGTGGGCAAAAATCTCCCTTAAATTGATTCAGTTTCCACGATAACTTGGAAGAAAGAGGTGCTCCGCATGGGGAATAAAGGATTTTCAGTCACTGAAAGTGACCAGCCCCATTCATAAAACAAAATGGATGGATGGTGTGAATTTAAGTATCATGGTTCACTCTAGGCGCAACATCCTTTTGGAAGCAACCTCTCACTTTGTCGCTCGAAGAAACTACCTTTTCTCTTCATTATGTGTCTTTGTCACTTCCTGCCCAGTATTTCATGTACCTGCTCACCCTTTCTTGCTTGTGCCCTATTTTTATTATTTTTTAAACATTTCAGCGTCAGTGCTCATGTTCTTTCATGCCTGGAGTGTCCCTCCCTCAAGGGATGAACTCTTCTAACTCATGCTTCAAGATTCAAGAGAGCTTCATGACGTGGTTCCGTGCTCCTTCCGTTTTATCAATGACTTGTTTATTTGGGAGCTACCGTGACCCTAGAACTCATAGTCAATATTCACTAAGACCTTGAAAGATACTTGTTATTATTCCCATTTTAAGGATGAAGATGCTGAGGTTGAGAAAAATCAAGTTCTAAAGGCACAGAAGCAATAAACCTGCAGATCACACTCACATCTGTATCATCCTGTGTTCTCAATATTGCATGGGACATACTTACACTAAAAGGAAAAGTGACTTGTTGTTTATCCGAAATTCAACTGTGTGTCCTGTGTTTTTATTTCCTAAGTCTGGCAACCCCATGTGTGGCTCTAATATGGGCTGTGGATAGCCTTGTCCCTTGGGACTCTCCCTTTGCACAGTTTTAAACAAATGAAACGACACCCAGTTTCTAGGTCTCAAACTTTCCATAGGATGTTCTCCACTTTGATTCACTGGAAAATGCCAACTTAATCTTTAAAGTCAAAGTCAACTGGCTTCTACTACCCCAGTGGCTAGTCCCCCCTGTCCTTCCTGCACACACATCTTGTACATACCTTTATTATTGCTTAGTCTACCGTGTCTTAATTATTGTGATTAGTACCTTGCCTAGGATAATCAGTATGAATTAAGATTGCATGTGTGAATTAACAAATACATGAATGAATGAATAAACCATTATGAAGAAAATGAACATATTCTCAACTTCTTTGTATTTACTCTTTCAAATAGATTCCTATTCATTTGAGGATAACAGGGTGGTTGTTTAAATACAGAAACATGAGTGAAGACACTGCGTAACTCACAGACCTGGATTTTGGTGTCCAAAGTACGTTCAGAGAAATGACTAACAAAAACCAGATATTTAAATCATGAAATCAGATCAGATAAAGGGAAAAGTAATGAATAACCACAATGGTTTTGGTGATCATACCATACATGCTCAGATTTTCTGAGACAGTTCTGAAGACCTCTCAGAAAAAGTGATTTTTAGCATTGAAACCTGAAGAAATTACCCAAGTGTGTGTGGAGTGGAGAGAAGGGTGGCTCTGTGGGTAGGGGTTGGGGTAGAGGTGGGGATAGAAAAGAGACTATTTTCTTTATTCTTTAGGAATAAATAAAATGTATTTGCTCAGTTGACTTTTATTTATTTTAACAGGTCTAAGGATGACTTGACTCACAGTTACCTGAGCGATTTATTCTTCAGGACTCCCTTTATTCTTCAGGTCTAATTACATTAAAATTGGTTTTTAAATTAGATTTGGAAACTTCAAATCCCTTCTATAAGAGAAGCCAAATCTTAGGGTGTAAGACTTGGGCACAATTGTGAAGACATTTTCTGAGTGGCCCTTTAGTGACTCTTCTCCTATTCTGGGGTAGCCCAAGTATAGTATAGTATAGATATTTGCCTTTGGCTGCAGAGTCACTTAGACTGTCACATAAGACAGAAAGTTCTCTCTCTCCAGCTATAGGTCTCAGGGGCCCTTTTAAGTCCTGATTCAAGGTGGGCCATTCCTTAAATGACCTTAACCATAGTTAAATCTATGGCTTACCCTCAACTTCTGGAAAACTACTTCTGCTCCCAAGTCAGCTGTGGACATCCCTCAATCTGGA